CAAGATAACTCGTGACAGTTTGCAGAGTTTCCTACTTCTCTAAAGTGCCTACGTTATCTACAACTAATTTCTTCATGCCAACCTGGATGAAGTTAGAGTGAATGTAGAAGTTTCTAAAGCAGTTTTTATGTTTATGAGCGGTTCATCATCACCTTGAGAGCTTGCTTTTTTTGGTTCAGTTTCAGATGAAGGATGGGACTGACAGCGGTGTGAACTTTGCAGAGTGACATTTTCTGGAAACTCTTGTATTTCTTCTGAAGTCTTTACACATCGGGTTCTCCGTGTAGTTAATTGTCTCATGGTGGAGAGAGGAAGGACCCTGTCCAGAGCCGACACGGGGGGAGGGCTGGAGGAGGCCCATGGAATGTGGATGCCACTGAAGGATGAGGCCGTGCCATTGGACAGGATGCATCTGAGCCAGGCGAGGAGAGATGGGGGAGTGCCCACCTGGCGCTCAGGAACTGTTCCAGAGTAGCTTGACTGCTTAGGAGACCACAGACGGTGACCTCAGAGTAGAGCCTGTTGTATTTTTTAGTGGCCCTGATTAAAAAAAATGGGATAAAAACTGTTCAGGAGAGTTTGCATGCACATCTGGTTCCGTTGCCTGTCTCTCTCCTAAGGTCTGCAGATTGGGAACACCGGGCCTTTGTTACAAAGGACAGCAGACTCCCTGCTTGTAGGCAGCAGAGCGCACACACCGGAGTTCTGACACATCTATTCCTGATTGGCATTTATCATTTATGTTCCTTGGAAGCACCAAAAGCTATTTGAGTTAGCCAGTCCTGGATTTGAAGCTACAGGGCACTTAAGTAGAGTCCGGTCCCTGAAGAGGAGACATTCAGAAGCCCTGGCTGAGGGGAATAGCTTAATATATATAGCTAAAGAAGCAGCGTTTAGTGTATGCCAGGCCTTGCACTCAGCATTTTACACGACTTAACTCCTTCAGTCCTCATAAGCCCATTTTACAGATGAGAAAACAGAGGTATGAAGAGGTTAAGTACAGGCTATCCTGTATTTAGGTTGCATTTTATTCAAAGTATGCTTGTGCTCAAGATCATTCATAATTCAAAGCAAATCCTTACAAAGACTGACTGGCATTTCTGTCGAGCAATTAGAGGGGTCTAGCATTTGGCAGTGGACCAAAGTACGGGTTTGACGGTCACTCAACCAGGTAGCTTTGAAGTTATGCTATTCTTGACACATTTTTAAAAAATGGATTCACATTGATTGCAAATTAAAATGAGTTGATTAATATTTTTAATTTGCTAAATTAGATTTTACGTAAAAGGCCACTTTATAACTTAAGACCAAGTCATACTAGTGAATCTGACTCCAAAGTCATGAACGATGTGAAATACGTTTCTATCAAAATCTAGATCATTGATTGTTATTAGGGAAGTGGTTAGTCTAACTGGAGGCTGGATGGGTCAGGTGTGCCCCCTTCCCACCTGGGGGTCTGAAATGATCATCATCGCTGGATGGACAGTGGAGGTTGCCGATGGCACTTTTTGAAAATGGTTTATACATGCAGTCAAGCTGTGGCTGGTTTCAGTCAAGAGCATTCTGTGTAGGCATTGGAATGGAAATCTTCAGCTTTCATTTTCCAATGTTACCTTTGGGATTGATGAGATATGGTTTCTTATGAAGCCAGCTCAGCGATAACTCCAATAGAACCACTGTTTTCGATTCTACCTGTGGTTTTCGGGGAACAGATTTTGTTACTTGGATTTGGCTATTAAAATTCTATATATCTGTGTGCATCTTCAAAGAATGCATAGATAGTCCCTGCCTGAATGTGGCCACCTAGATGTCTAGAGCACCTAGCTCTGGTCTAGAGCTAGCCTGGGAGGGGTTCACCCCTGCACTCATTTCCTTTTGCCACAGAGCTCTAGAAAGGCCTCCAGGGGTGGTGGGAGGGGGGACTGTGGGGTGGGGGCACAGCAGGGTCAGAGGAAGAAATGGTGGATGCCTTTATATATTATAAATCCCTTCCCAGGCTTGATGAGGCTTAGATAGCCCTGCAGTCGAACCGATCCATTTCTGGGGTTTGTTTCTGTCCTCTGCACAAATTGGCACAGAAATCCATGACTGGTTGTTGAAGGGAGCGTTGCTTCTCAACACATCCTTAGCCTCCTGGTTCTAGACTGTGTCAGAGACCAACAAACAGTTGGGAACTTGCCCAAGCCGAGACCTATCTCCTATGGCTCTTGTCCAGAAAACACTGATAAAATTGGCCTGTGTAGTTTCGACGGGCCCACCGAGGCCCACAATAATTTCCTTCCATTGTTTCAGATTTGATGCTGTGGCTTCAGAAACCAGGAGAGAGGGTGAAGATTGGCTCTGGCCAGAAAAATTCCCTCTGTTGCCCTCCCCTAAGCAATTAGATACTTTGCTGACACTTAGGAGGTTTGTGCTAATAAGTCTCTGGGAGGTGCTAGCTCTTTTTCTGCGTGTGTGTTTTGTAGATGCAGGTATTCGTAAAGGAGGTACTACTGTGAGTTTGTATCTATTTTTTTCAGTATTTACTGCAAACTGAATTCTGTGGCAGACAGGTGCTTCATAATGCCCTGAAGAACCCTGTTGCTCCTTCTGGGGTTGCTGCTTAGCTAGAGTCTCAGACCTTTGGAGGCCCTCCAACCTGTGCCCCTCCTTCTAGAAAAAAAACTAGGCCTGGGATCACACAATTCGTTGCTGAGGGAACCAGATGGCAGGCATCCAGACCACTGACCTTTTCCGTAGAGTAGGACTGCTTAAGAATATAAGATTATATAGTATGGATGGGGCACTGTGCTTTTCAGGGCCTCACAGTGGGGGGAGGTTGAGAGGGTAGGGAATCTAGCCTATAAATGTTTATGGCTTAAGTGACTTTCATTATTGGCTCAGTGGTGGCTCTTATAATCCTAATAGCTGCTCCCAGGGATGAGTAATTCCCTAGTCAGTATAGGTGACTTCATTTATCTCTTCTTCCACGCCAGGCCCATCATTTCCGCCTGCTACCAGTCAGCTTTCTCCAAGCCATCCTTTGCTTGGTGGTCCCATCATTTGTTAAATCTTGATTGCAGTGGCCTCAACATTCCACTTTCTGGACGAGGTTCAGGCCAACAGCCTCACTTCAGCTCCAAGATACGACATTGCATTGACATTGTTAGATGCTCAGAGGCAGGATGCAGGGATTGATAGCCGCATGAGGGATACAGTGATTTAAGAGTTACGATCATTGTTAAAGCCAAGTTGCTGTTGAGCCTGATTGTTCTAGTATGCCATGTGTGTGAAGCCTTTGAAGCTCCGTGCTTTGTTCATGTTTTCATGCTGCTGCTGGGAGTGACTTGGCGGCCACAGCATTGAAGCTGATTCATTGAGCCACTAATGCCTTAGTTTGGGCCTCTACCTGACTGATCGTTTTACCAGCGAAACAGCCCTGCCCTTTATGAGGGAAAGTACCAACTGGATCACTAAGTGTATGTTTGAAGATAGGTTTTTAAAAATGACAGAAATCTTGGGGCGCCTGGGTGGCTCAGTCGGTTACGCCTTCAGCTCAGGTCATGATCTCAGGGTCCTGGAAATGAGCCCCGCATCGGGCTCCCTGCTCGGCGGGGAGTTTGCTTGAGATTCTGTATCTCCCTCTGCTCCTCGCCCCGACTTGTGCTGTCTCTCTGAAATCTTTAAAATAAAATGACAGAGACCGGGCACCTGGGTGGCTCAGTCAGTTAAGCGTTTGCCTTCAGCTCAGGTCATGATCCCAGGGTCCTGGGATCGAGCCCCATGTCAGGCTCCCTGCTCAGTGGGAAGCCTGTTTCTCCCTCTCCCACTCCCCCTGCTTATGTTCCCTCTCTCGCTGTCTCTCTCTGTCAAATAAGTAAATAAAATCTTAAAGAAATGACAGAGACCTCTTATCCTTTAGAGGACAGAGGCATTTGCTTATTTATTCACTTAATCAAATTTTTAACAGACACCTTCCATGTGGCAGGCACTGTTTTAGGCACTAAGATTGCCTCAGCCAACAAAATAGGAAAAATATCCCTTTCCTCATCTTATGTTGTCAATTCCAGTATCTTCCCTGCATACGTCTCATCCCTATGAGAATATTTTAGAAATAAGGCAGTGTCCTGTGAAGAGAACTAGCTTTTGCACTTTGCCCATTGTTTTCTATTCCTTGCTATAATTTTCCCATGGAACAATTAGAGGTTTGATACCTGCTTAATAGTAATTCTCTAATAGTAATTTTTAGTAGGATTTGTTTTTATGGCTTTCTACTTTATTCCTCCACCTGGCTGTTACAGGTAGTGCCTGGGCAAAGGAAGAGAACTTCAGGTTCATTGCCTGATGTGATAGTTATCAGTAGGCAAGATGATGAGCATTGCGAAACATACCTGGATGTGTCTGTGGCTTCTTCTATGAATTGGACCTGATTGTGCTGCCTGTGGTAACAAATTGGGGCACAGTTTCCTTCCTTCCGACTGACCTTTCCCTTTTCTTTCTGTCCTAAGTATTTTATTGAGCAAGCCTGATCTTTTCCGCCTTTGTGATTGGTTCCTATCTCTTTGTCAATGCATGGATCTTTAGCCATTGTTCTAAGACAGCTGGTGATTCGGTGATTCAGGAGCACTTATTATACCAGGCATAATCCCTAAACTCCATTACCTAGTGAGTCTGATTTTGTGGGTCTAGGATGGGAACCCAGAATCTGCTTTTTCAAAGAGGATTGGAGAAAAGCAGGGCATCCTCATGAGGATGTAGCTGGGTTACTGTCTGAAATGGTCTAGAACTGTGGGAATATTGCTGAACCACTTTCCACTTGGGCTGAGCCATAAGGTATGACTTAGCTGTTAATCTTACACCACGACGATGAGTCTCGATTTATGTACTGTCCATGCAATTAAGCCCGTGGCCGCCTGTAAATGTCACATAGCACCCAAAGAAACTGCATTACTCAGCTGTTCCCCGGTGGGAGAAGATGGTCTCGGCTTTGTTTAACCAGCTTTCTTGGGATTTCTCCATAGGCAATGGTGGCTTGCTACCCAGGAAATGGGACAGGTTATGTTCGACATGTGGACAACCCCAACGGCGACGGCCGCTGCATCACCTGCATCTACTATCTCAACAAGAATTGGGACGCCAAGGTACTCTGGCATAAAGGGAGTAGAACGTGGGGCTAGAAACTCTAGGGAAAGAATTCAGATGACTTAGAGGAGGGTTTGGAATTCATAATTCCCACGGATGAATCTTGTCTACTTCACCATTTCCTTTTTGTCTCCTACTATGGTGTTAGTACTTAAGTTGATGAGACGAAAATAATGGATATGAAGTTAATCGGGTGGGGAGCAGTGGGGGTGGGGTGCAGTAGGGAGGGTCATTACTAGGTTGTGGGAAGGGTGGTTGATAAAGAGAAGGTAATTTATTATTTTAGGAATGGGGATAAATTTTTTTTGGGGGGGGGGATCTAATCCAGAGCTGGTAGGACTTTCAGTGCACAGTAAGATACATACTTCTTCCTTCCAGCAGCAATGTTGTGAGAGAATTCCACAAAAATAGAACTAACTGTAGGATATAAAACCAGCCCCAAGTGAGGTTTCCCACACAGTTCTCTTGGGGTGATATGTCTCGTTGGTGGCCGCTTGCCATGGCTCACCATGGTTTGTGAATGTCAAAGGCTTTCTGGCTTATTTTTGTATTTTTGAACATATAGATAGAGATATGAAGTCTGGTTCCACGCTTACAGACATTTGTCTGGAATTTGTATGCTTTCTGAAACTTAAGGATGATTTAGGAGTCTGAGAAGTCAGAGAACTTTTCAAGCTCATTTGGCATTTGAACCTTCTGCATCTCCATTTTCTGTTCATTGGGGCAGATACCGGTCGTCCGAAAGCACAAGGATATTTTATCTGGTGTCAGGGAAACAAAACCTGGGAAACCAGTGAGTCAGATGTCTCTTCTCCCTATTTGGTAACATGATTGGAATACATCCCTTAATTGTCTTTTAAAATCTTGAAAGGTAGTGTTATAGGCAAGAGAGTAAAGTTATCAGGTCAGTGATAATAAATCATGAAGTATGAAATCATGCAACAAATATTTGAGTGCCTGTTAATGCCAGGCATTGTGCTGTGCAGATGCATTGATGTGTGAGGCCTGGATTCTACCTTGATATGGTTATCCCAGCAGGAGATTTGGGTGTACATATTTTTAAAAAGAAATCAAGGAAGAGAGTGATGCATGTACTAAAAAGTGTAGATAAGGTAGTCTGAGTTCAGAAAAAGAATATGTAACTTCCAGCTGATAAGATCACATAGGAGCTGGAGAAATTCAAAAGAAAGCCGTAAATTCTAATTGAAGGGGATGTTATGTGTGATGACTATCCTAGGAAGTTCTTAATATTAGATGGAACCGTATGAAGTTGCCGGTGGGTTTTTGTAGGTCGAAAACAGATGTTGACAGGTTTGTGTGATTGGACCTAATAGCACTCCATTTTGTGTCCACGGGTTTCATGACTGGGGTAGGAAGGCTTCATTCCGTATGACGTGGATAAGGAGAGACGACTAGCTAAGTTGGAAATAAAATGAAGTACAAGGTGTAAGGTTGGAGAGAATTTTGGGAGTAATATACACCCGGACTGGAGGTTGGAAGATGGCATTGTTTCCAGATGAGGCTGAAATACCATTGTTAGCCAATTATGTGTGAGGCTAGGAAATAATCCATCTTCTTTGTGGCCCTCAGCTACACGGTGGGGTCCTGCGGATATTTCCAGAAGGGAAATCATTCATAGCAGATGTGGAGCCCATTTTTGACAGACTCTTGTTCTTCTGGTCAGACCGCCGGAACCCACATGAAGTCCAGCCTTCCTATGCGACCAGGTAATAGCCAGGGCCATGATTCCTCCTGAGAAGCTTCTGTATAGAACCCAGTTCCCAGAGAAGTCCCTAAACTTGCGTCCTGTGTATATGAGGGACCAATCACACTCCAAGGCTGATAGCAAACCTGTTAGAAGGCAATCACAGTTAAAGGGGAAACTAGATTCCTTAGGTTCTTCACAAAACCTAATGTCAACTGGAACTATTAACGAATTGTTTTCCATTAGGTGAGCGTGGTGGATTCCAGATTTCCCAGTGTTTTTCCCTTCTTCCTTTGCCATTCCTCCCTGAAACAAATCTAACGTTGAAGTAGCCCTAGAGACTGTTGGCTCTCACATATCAGGAATTCTGATGGTTAACTCTGGATGAGTTTACAAGTTGCCTATTGCAAACAGAGAGAGAACTTTGAGAAAAGAGAGAGGAATTTGTTCCGACTTCTTTTCCTTTTTACCCTTTCTTTCCCTTAAAATTGGTTTGGGCCCACTGTACCCATCATGTTCCAGGAATGGGATTTTTTAAAAGGCCCTTCTTTAGCTCAAGCATGAGAAGGTTTTCAGAGTAACTCAACAATTAAACTTGTTAAGATTACACCAAGAGTTTCTAGATTAATACTAATTTCGGAATATGCCTCTCATTACCTTTGTTTTATGGCCCGAGCTGGAAACCAGGTGGTGGCCCCATGCTGTGGGGATGCAGCTTGAACTGGGAATCACAGTTGGGGGCAGGGGGAGAGAACTTTGGTAGGATGATGACTTGAACCTTAACAAGCCTAATTAAATTAGAATCACATGTGTGAAGTAGTTAAGATTTATAGGTGTTCCCCTCCAGAAATCACGATCTGAGCCCCACACAGAGTTGCATATTAAATGTCAAGTTGGAATGTGCCCTAGGTGAGCAGGTAACTAATTCTACCCCCAGAGCCTGGTTGTGGCTTGTTTAATAGGGTACGAAAATTGGCCCCTGTCATTTGTGCCAGAATTCCCTCAGTATTCCCCAATCTCTTGATGACCTAAGTCACAGGAGAAACATTAGCAGATGTTGATGGGAAGCCCTTGAAAAAAATCAAGGGCTGTAGAAATTCCAGTAGTTAATAATAATTAGAAAATGAAACTTTTTTGAAAACTCATGCATGAAATGATTCCTATTACAGTCTATCCCATAGATGGGATAAAGCAAATTAATGGAAACACAGTAGAAAGCTTGAGGGCATCATTATTCTGTTGCCTCCTTGCCTCAGTATCCAAAACTAAAGAAAGCAAGCCAAGAGCTTTAAGCGTTCTGTCATTTAAATAATTTACTCTTCAAAGCTTTACTCAACTGTCACCTCCTCTTCTCTGTGTTCTCCCCAAAAGCTTGGGTCTCTCAAGTCTTGATTAGAATGACTCCCTTCTAGTCCTATCTGTGTAGATCATCTTGACCTGTTAAATTATTTGTTAAATTGCCTGTCTCCCCTGTGAGAGCCTGAGCTCCTTGAGAAAGAGGCAGATTTATTCACAGGATCATTTGAATTCCCATTGCGCAGGATAATGCCTGCTGCATACTTGGAATTCCTTACGTGTTTTATTACATTTAAATAGAATTGAAACCAGGGAAGTTTATTTTAAATTAAAATTGGGACGGACTTCTAATAATAGGGAAAACTTTAAATGTTGGCTTTATGAATGCCTCTGATGTGAGATTCATAGTATTTTTTATTTTTGGGTAGTATTTTTAAACTTCTTTTATATCTGCTTATCACAGATACGCTATGACCGTTTGGTACTTTGATGCTGAAGAAAGGGCAGAAGCCAAAAAGAAATTCAGGAATTTAACGAGTAGGTGTTTGAAATTTTTCTGTGACTTTTAATCGGGTCAATCTATGACTTTCAGTTAACATTTGTATATATATTCTGATATATACTTGACCCTTGAACAATGAGGGTGGAGTTAGGGGTGCTGACCCTCCCTCATTGAAAATCTGCATATACCTTTTGACTCTCCAACACTTAACTAATAATTACTTCCTGTTGACAGGAAGCCTTAAACATAAATAGTCAATCAACACACATTTTGTATGTTCTATGTATATTATATATTATATTACAATAAAGTAAGCTAAGGAAAAGAATGCTATTAAGAAAATCATTAGGAAGACATTTTGTTTTTTTCCCCCCCCAAAAAAAGATGTTTTCTTTTTTTTTCCCCAAAGATTTTATTTATTTGAAAGAGAGAGCATGAGAGAGAGAGCACGAGCAGGGGGGAGGACAGAGGCAGAGGGAGAAGCAGACTCCCTGCTGAGCAGGGAGCTGGATGTGGGACTCTATCCCAGGACACTGGGATCATGACCTGGGCTGAAGGCAGACTCTTAACCGACTGAACCACCCAGGCGCCCAAGAAAATACATTTTCACTACTGCGCTGTATTTATCGAATACAGTCTTTGTGGAAGTGGACCCATACAGTTCAAATCCATATTGTTCAGGGGTCACTGTACTCTGTTCAGTCCTGGGCTGTGGCTTAGCTTCACGTGTAATGACATCTTGATGGGCTGAATCCCGAAACCCTGGCCTTAGCTCCCCTGGAAAAATCAGAAAAAATGCAAAGGACCTCCCCTGCGAATGTCCACTGATTGTGTGACAGTAAGTAGTTAACTTTTTATCATTAACGTTCACCCATCAAACATAGCATTCAGTTTGGCCCATGATTTTGGCACATTTCATAGGGGATACAATGGAGCGCAGCTAGAATGGTTAATGTATTATATTGGTGTGGGACTGTGACTGTCTCTACAAACACTGGGCTCACGTAATACAAACTGAGTATGACTTAACGCTGTTCCCTCCAACCTTAACGCCATTCCTGTCTGCCTCCAGCTGTAAGGCAGCATTTTCCAAAATATGTTGTATCGAAACACTCATCCCGCTAGTGGTCTTGCCAAGTTAGTTTGTGAAAGGTAAATTTCTGGCCCCCTAAATGTGGGAAATGTTACATACTGTATCCTTCTCTTGAAGAGTCACAGTGGTCATTGGCATGTTAATCAAGAGAAGTTCATCTAAGATTGAAATAAAGATGTATGCAACATTGCCTGTTATCCATTTGGAACCGAAGAAAACACATTGTGCTAAGTCCTATGGGGCAGGGGGCATTGTGCTCACCTTTGTATTATAGGATGGGAAGTCTTCACTGGAGGCTTTTTTGATGCCATTTGTGGCATTAAACTCATCAGATCTGTCTCCTTACCCTCTTTATTTTCTCTTCTGTCCCCAACCCAGGGAAAACTGAATCTGCCCTCACTGAAGACTGACTGTGCTCTGAAATCCGCTGGCCTCGTTCATTTTAGTAATGGTTCCTGAGGTCTCTTTAAGAGTTGAAATCCAAAGAAGGCCTCTTCCATGACTTGGTGACAAGAAGCCCCCCTACTGCTTGCATCATTCACATCCCTGTCTTACATATGGTACTTTTGTGTTTTCTTGCCAAAACTGCATCCACCTTCAGACACTCTCTTTGCCAGATGAACTCATTTGCTAACTCCAGAAATACCTGCAGACAACCTAGCTGGCCAGCGGTAGAACCGATATATTTGGTAATACTGGCTATCAACACAAGATCCTGGAAGCATGGGCAAGGGAATGAATCTTACTTGCACTTTATGTACACTTCCTGGTTTGAAAGGAGGAGGTTTGCAAAGAAAAACAAAATGGCGACAGATGCCACTGAGAGGCATCCGTGAAGCCTTCACAGCAGGAAACAAATTGGTGTCATCTGAACAGTTTCCAAATGTTCTCAATCCCGGGCTTTTGGGGTTTCTGGAGAATTACCACAACCTAGTGACATTATTACCTCTAGAAAGGGCTGCTGTCCTAGTCCTCAATTTAGAAGTATCCTGTGGGTGGACACTCTCTTTTTCCTGGTCCTGCAACCTGGACTTGCTGCCTCTGCCCCATTTTGCTGAAAGTAGGGCTTTCTGGTCAAAGATGATCTACCATCTATTTTTTATTTTCACTTCTTACTTGGAGAACCTAATTCCCCAGAGGCAAAAACTAGACCTTAATTATTTGGGTTACTTTGTTGAAATGGAATTTGAATTTCAATCGAAGGGGAAAAGAACCCACCTGGTAGGTAGCTTCAGCGGCAACAACCTCTGGTAACTGGTATCGAGAGACGTGGGTCTACCAATACACGATAAACCTGTGTGCATCTTGGTCCGTCTGAGAATGGCAGTGGGGTTGGAAATGTAGGCATTGCCGTGTTTCAGTTTTCCTTTTTAATGCGCTCACCCTTCTTGTTTAACAGAATGAGACAATAACAAAAAATGGGGTGTTGTATTTTAAAAAGGAAATGGAAATTAAAAATCCCAGAAGGCTATTTGGGTTTGTCCACGTTTTCTGTCCCTAGTAGCCTTTCTTCAACAGAATTGAAGCACACGTTCCACTGCCTCAAGAATTCTAAATTGTGCACCTATTCTATGAAAGTTGAGTCTTCCTAGTTTTCAATTCCATTTTCGTTTTTTAAATCCCCTTAGTTTCTTGCATACAAATTCCATGAACATGAAAGAGCCAGAAATATATTCTTTGTCATTTATAGGTATATACACTTTCCAAGAAAGAAGCTTTTTTTTTTTTCCATTTCTGGTTTTGGAAAATTCCCAGATAAGACTTGTCTTCATTCTCACAACTGCTCTATTTTTTTCATAGTGCTTATCACCTTCTAACTTCCTATGTAATTTACTTATTTATTATGTTTGTTGTCTCGTATCCTTTCTCTAGAGTGTAAGCACAATGAAGACAGGGATTTTTGTATGGTTTTAATCAATGGAATGTATTCCCAGCACCTAAAATAGTGCCTGGCACATTAAGGGCTCAGTAAATACTTTGTTGAATAAACTTCCTCTCCTACCTTAGTGCTTTCGTGGCTTGATTCATTTCCTCCATCCTTGGCAAAAAAGGCTCGCTAGAAGTTTTTATACACCTCTTTCTCTCATTGACTTACAGATTGAGGCTAAGAGTGTTAGAAAGCTTTGGCCCTAGTGTCATTCCATATCTGTTTCCCTGTTGGAATAGGTCTTTGACCACCATGAATCTGAAAACTGAACAAAGAAAAATTCTGCCCTTCAGTAGCTTGGGACTGTAGGAGGAATGTGAGAATAGCTTCAGATAGGACAGAGTACATTCCTCCTTTGGAACAATTTTGAAAAACAAAAGGATGAGAGAAGGAAAGAACGTTGTTCACTAGGAATTTCATATCCCATAAAATTGTAATGAAGTTTTTCCCATGGTTACTACTGTCATGAGGATGCTAGTGACAAGATTCTGAAGGACTAGCATGTCATTCCAATAGTATGTGTTGTATCTTTCACTTGAGTCATTATTTTGACTTGCCAGAAGATCCGACCTCTTGGGCCTTGGCTTATTCCTTTCAAAGGTCCTGTAAACTAATAAACTAAATACCAGATCAATTTTTAATGCACTGATTTTTCTCGTGGTTGAATCTGAGCCCTAGAAGATTGAACCTGGAAAATAAAGCTAATAGTGTCTGCTTTTTGCTTCTCTCTTTGACAGCCCACTTAGGGGAGGACTCAGCCCCTATGAAGAAACATTATTTGGCAAATAATCTGATCAATTTCCTTTATGTTCCTGGCAATGAAATGTTAAGAGCCCACCTCAGTGTTACGTCACCTATATGGTGCAGAGTCCTCGGCAGGAGATTCAATTTTGAACCAAAGATCCAATTTCATGGAAATAAAAAGTCTTACCTAAGTGCATTAAATAGATCTACTAGAGTAGTTAATATCAATTAAATGCTGGGCTGTCTGAATCATGAATTATCCATTCAGACGTGATTTTGTTTTTCTTCTTTAAATAGCTCAGGTTTTTTTTCGAGGCTAGGTCATCCTAATTTCTTTTGGCCATTCAGTCCCGAAATTTCCTGTGTTTTAGAAAGCAATGATGGGAAATGCCATGCTGGGTCAGCAGTTTGTATAAAAGAGGAATTTGGACATGTCAGGTACTTTTGTATTTGATTAACTATAAGGACTAGCCCAAAGGATGTTCTTGGTCAAGTTATTTTAAGTACAAAGAATACAAGATTGACCTAGCTTCAGTCTTGAATCCTTTGACATGAAAAGAATACTACTGGTCAGCGAGGTGGCGAGAGACTTGTCAAAACAGGGTAGAGACAAATAGTTTTTTTTCTCAAAATGAAGCTGGTCATAGTTGAGCTCTGTTGGGTCATAGACGCTGGTTTAGATTCAAGAACCAATCTACTCTCAGACCCACTCAACTCCCATCCGAATGTGAATTTTTTAATATGTTGCTGTTTCTCCGTGTTGATAGGTTAGGTCCTTGGAGAGGCTGCATTTACCAAGGCCTGTCTCCTTTACATTTGCAAGGCCAGGGTCAGAGGTTAAAGAGTCTGGACAAAGAACAATTGGTAAAATGACTCTGGGGCATCTGAGAATACCAGTACGCCAGGCCTGCACTATGGGCTCTCACAGGTTTCTTTTTTGCAGCTGCTGTGACACAGCTCTTCTCTCCATACGACATGTTCTCAACAGTGAGGTGCTCGTCTAGGGTGACAAGGTAATGGAGTAGCACCCAGGATTTGACTTGGGACTTGTGGGTCCTCAGTGACCGTGGTCTTTGGTGGTCTCTGCTTCCTGTGGAGGAGAGAGCAGACAGAAGAGAAGGAATGAGTGGAGTTGAGAGAAGGGGAGCTTGCCTCTTGCATTTTTACATAATGTTTTGGTTATCAACAGGGGTCTCCCGCCCAGCCTCCTAAAGGAATGTCAGGTATTCCGTGTAAACCACAGGAACAGAAATCACCCAATTCCTAGTTGTGGTCTCCCTTGACTTGGTAATGGGATCTTTCCTGCATGCCTCTCCCGGATCCTGGAGGAACTTTGGGTCTGTGTCCAACATTGGCCTCTCAGGCTCACGCTAGACAGGAGCAGGGCGGGGCCATGGAAGGGAAAACAGAGTGGATTTCTGGGTGCCACTTGGAGGCCTCCCAGCAGACCACAGTGCCTCATCAGGATGTCTGGGCAGTGTGCAAAATGCTGCTCTCCTGTCCCTGTTTTGATGGACTCGGGGAGGAAAGCAGATTTTTCTTTCTGATGCATCTTCCCAATTTGGGGTTGAGGTCGAGCTGAGATGTCAATGTTGTTCTGATACTGATGATTCTCCATTTGATAAGTAGAAACTAAGGGAGAAGACAGAGCAAGGCCCCTGCATCTCAGCAATACTTTCATCACCTCTGAGTGACCTTGAGTGGGGATTTAGAAACATTTTTAATTCTCAAAGGCACTTGGGCAGTCTCTGCCTAATCTTTTTAAGGTGGCTTGTAGAAGGATGTCATTTAAATTTTTTTCACACAGCTCTTTTGCTTACTTAAATACTTTGAGTGTCGAAAAAGCACCAGATTTCTTTCTTGAATCCTGTTTGTTTGACCTTTGATAAACTTCGCACTTGGAAAAGTCAGCTTTTTTGGACGTGGTTGCTGCTCATGCTCCCGAGTGCTGAGATTTTTCAGAAAATTTATAAAGACCATTTTTGTGATTCCTTTTTTAAAGGCAGAGAAGGAGCTCGGAGAGTGGTTGTTGTGCTTTATTGTCACTATTTTACATCGCAGATTTAAGAGCAGTTGTGGAATGAAATTCATAATTTTAGGAGCAGATAAACACTGAGTCATTAAAAATTAATTTAACAAGGAGTCTTTGTTTTGTGCCTGTTTTTTTTTGAGGGAAAACAGCGTAACCCTTAATGACAGGTGCCTGGTGGATGTACAAAGCAGAAGGTGACTTGGGACGGCGAAACGGAGGGAGCATTTTATTTATCATCCCTGAGCTTCCAGGGAAATGGGAGTTAGAAGAGAACAGGGGCCAGGTGTGGTCGGCCTGTTGCAAAGGGAGCTTTGGGAGTTGGTCTCCGAGTAGGTCTCCGGCAAGCGGTGGGTGGTGGTGGTGGGGGGTGAGCGGCTGTGCCCAGCGCCCAAGGGCTGGGCAAGGTCGAAGGAAGCAGTAACAAGCAGCTGGGGAAGGGCTTAAGCACTTGCCAACTTCTGGATTTTTGAACAATTCATGGGGGACGAGGTTACCTGCCATAAAAATGCTGGTAAGTAGGAATTCCCCAAGAACCTTTTCCACAGACCTCTATTTTTTTCTGAAAAGGTAATAAAGGCACATGGCGGGTGGAGGGGGGGATTTGAAAAAGGTATAGAGGGAAAGAAATCTATCTTGGCCCGAGAAACAGTCCATCGGCCCATTTGTTGGGTACCCCCTTGAGGGTTCCTGCCCTGTCCTGGAACCTCAAGAAAGGCCCTCCTCCTGCAGAGTTGGCACGTTCGCTTGGTCATTTCCTCCTATTTTTATGCTTATTCATCCTGTGGCCTGTGTTCTCCTTGACATGCCTATTTTTTTTTCCCACCCTCCTGTGGGGAGAGATAACATTCTCCGGACTTAATTCTCATCTGATAAGTTTTATTTTTAACCAACCTCTACATCCTTTCTTCTTCGCTTCTTATTTTCCTGAGCCCACGCGTCCCTTGGCCTTCCCTGGCTTTCTCAGAAGGTGTGAACACGGCGTCTGGTAACAACATACGGCCCCGGGACCGGGTACTGTCCTGGAGCCGCTCAGGGTGCTGGGAACCTGGCTTAGCATCCAAGGGGAGGGAAACTTTCTCCTCTGCACATGTTCCTCTTGTTAACTGGGCAATTCGCTCTTACCTTCTGCTTCCCCTCTGGGCTGTCTGTAAGTTTCCTTTTGTCAGTACATTTCTGTTATCTTGATGAAGGAAACTCGCTTTAGAAAAAAACAAAACAAGACAGCTGTGACTTGCAGTGATTAGCATGGGCTGTCTTCCTGGCAGCCACTTAAGGCTCCCACCAAGTGACAAAGCCATGACTGGACATGATGTTTCTTGGATTGAGATGAATGAAAGCAGCCAGTGTCCACCCAACTGAAGGGGAAGGTTTCTGTTCTGGTTGGTTTTGTTGGCCACATGACCTCTGACTGAGGCTTTCCCAGACCCGTATGCTAGGAGTAAACCGATCTCAGCTATGGAAGTATATATAATATACCGTCTTTATTTTTCTTTTTGGCTTTTGACCCGCCCCTCTCTCCCTCCTCCCCAAATATGACTAAATATGGTTGTGGCTCAAAAGTTGTCCAAACAACGCCAGTAGGGTGAAGAGGAAGTTTTTAACCTGCAGAGGGGAGCAGGCCCTGCAGCTACTGAGACCGCATTCCCCAGAGAGGGTTGTGCCTGGGAATGCCGCTCAAGACTTGAACTCCATGGCCTCCAACTGCATTTTGTTCTCAGTGGACCAGTTGTCTCTCAAGCATCGCGCAGCTCCATCATGCATCGTGTGTATGGTCATTGCATTTCCTGTAACCCCGTCAAAGCCCTGGAAACGAAAGCTAAAATAAAA